CAACCAACTGGCGCGTCGCAACTGCCTGTACCCCAAATATGAAATTGACAGTCAAAGACCTCTTGTGATAAGTTAGGCCCGCCTTCACTTACGGCGGGCACTACTGCTACCGGGGCCACTTAGGCCTGCCGAGGACCCAGATCCTCACAAAATAAATAATAATAATAAATAAAAATCAAATCTAGGCTACCAGAGTGGCCCGGGGTCACTTGGCCGGCCGGGCGAAAAAAAATTAAAAATATATATATTATACAGGGTAACCAGCGTTCGGGACGGGCCGAACGCCAGAACCCGAACGCCTGAACGTATGGGACCCCTTGGGGATGCGTTCGGCCGTTCGGGCCGAACGTCGACCCAAAAAAGAAAAAGAAAAAAAAAATCAAAAAAAATCTGAAAAAAAAGATATGTTATGAAGAAAATGAAATGAAACACGATTTGCCTGAGCATTACATCCGAATTCCTTACCAAATTTGAAATAAAAATAAAATACGAAAAACAAATACTAATAATAAAATAACAAAAAAAAAAAAAAAAAAATTAGTGAATGCGCGGGCACGTTTTCGACACTGCCATCTTTGGCGATTTTTCATTTTTTTTTTCTGGCATAGCTAAATGCCCTGAAAATTTACAGATGTGTACTTCACATAATGCAAAACCCACTAAAAAAGTGTGAGGATCTGTGTCCTCGGAAGGCCTATGGGGCCCTGTTTACAGCATTGCCCGCCCTAAGTGAAGGCGGAGGTGCCCGCCCTAAGTGAAGGCGGAGGTGCCCGCCCTAAGTGAAGGCGGAGGTGCCCGCCCTGATTGAAGGCGGGCCTAACATATCACAAGAGGCCCTCGACTGTCAATTTCATATTTGGGGTCCAGGCAGTTGCGACGCGCCAGTTGGTTGAGAGAAACTCAGGCCGGCCCACAAAGACATTTCCACGGCCTTCCGGGCTTTTCCAAAGAAGGCAGGCCCTGGGCGTGATTCGCAGCCTCAGACAGAGACAGTTGGGCGCCCAACCGAACGAGGCCCAGCAGCCCAGTAGCTGCTGCATACAGGCAGCCTTCTGGGGCCTTCCGGAAGCTTCTGGGCCCAGGCCAGTCCAGCCAGGCTGCGCGAGCAGGCCGGCTCTTTCCATATAGGAAAGAGCTCTCCCCTGGAAGCCTCATTCAGGCACTCGCATGCTAGCGGCACCGCTGCTGGAGCAAGAGCTCGCGGCTGCTGGCTGGCGCTGAGAGGCGAGGTGCAGCACGTGCGGTCGTGCAGGGAAGAAGGGCGCTGCTGAGGGCAGCGCCATAGCCCAGCCACCATAGCTGGTGGGCTTGGACTACAGTGAGGCGCAGGGGTGGTCTTCGGGTGTAAGAGAGGACAGGTGTGGGTGTAAAGTCAAGGAAGGGTGAAGGATGATGATGATGATGATGATGATGTGAGGGCACTTACTTTGTATTGGCGATGGTCTGCATGGGCGACATCTTCAAGTACTTCGGGTTGCCGCTGATGTCAACAGTTGCATTGTCAATTTGTAGGCTGTAGTAGCTGTGTAGGAGTAGGCTGGGTGCTGAACGCCAAGTAGGAGAGTGAAGGAACTGGACTCTTGTGTTGGTGAGGAGAGAGTATGCTCTCCTGGACATCGGTTTTCAGTACTACGAACCTCCATTGGTGTATTATTGGTGCAATGCTGCTCTCTGGACACGGTGTGACTATCTGGCTTTCAATGTGATGGTGTAATCTGAAATTGTCATCTCGCTGTTGCTTATTTTCCTTGCAAAAGTTTAAAAAAATAATAAAATTGTTTAGACCCCTAACTAAAGTGAAAACAAAAAGTAAATGGTGAAAAAACACGTGGGCGAGCTCGTTTTGACACCGCCATCTTTGGCAATTTTTACAGGGTCACCAGCCCGTACGTACGGAGGTCCCCGGGCAGACCTCCGCACGTACGGGCGTTCGGGGTCCTGTACGGGGTCTGAACCCGATGGCGTTCGGCCCCCGCCAAGAATTATTTCGGGAGTTCGATATATATATTTTTTTCTGAATTTTTTTTTGTGAGTTCTCTATGACGTGAGGTACATGCCTATAAATTTATTTATTTTTATTATTTTTATTATAAAATTGGTGAAGAATTTCGATGTGACCCTGAGGCAAAAGTTGTTTAGTTTATTTTTCTGCATAACATAGTTTTTTTTCGGAGTTTTTGGAATTCGTTTATTATTATTTTTTGTTTGCTGGGACCTTCCCTGGTCCTTGCACGGGCTGGCCACCCTGGACCCGGGCGGCCCGGCTGGTAGCCTAGAATCAAACAGTATTACAGTAATCATTTTTGTTGTTATTTTGCTGTTAATTAAAATCAACAAAGTGGTTATGGTACATCGAAGCATCTTTTGCAATCGGTGCACCCCCATTTATAGCGCCCGCTAGTATGCTGAGTTGCCTCTTCCCGGGCAACAGCAAATCGCAACACATAACGCTCAAATGCACCCATCCGCCAGTTTATCATTAACGTACGTACTTCAATCTCCATTACAAATCTCTGCTTACCCACAAACGTAGGACGGCCTGCCACTGCGACTGCGAGTACCTTTATGACAACTACTAACTTGTCACTTCTGTATCGAATCTATCGATGCTAAGCGCCATCAACAAGCACAAAGCACATAGGATGCTTTGTACTCAGCACAAAGCACAAAGGATGTTTTGTACTCAGCACAAAGCACAAAGGATGCTTTGTACTCAGCACAAAAGATGCCTTGCACTCAGCACAAAGGTGCCTTGTAGTAAATTGTACTCAGCACAAAGCACAAAGCACAAAGCACAAAGCACAAAGCACAAAGCACAAAGCATAAAGAAAGCACAAAGCACAAAGGATGCTTTGTAGTAAGTTGTACTCATCACAAAGCACGTAAGATGCTTTGCAATCAGCACAAAGCACATAAGATGCTGTGTAGTCAGCACAAAGCACATGGGATGCTTTGTAATCAAGGCTAAGACTGAAGATGCTATGCTTTGCACTTCATTCACACAAAGACCATGGACATTGTGGAGGGGAGTTGTGATGCTATGCTTCACAAACACCCCACTGGTGTGGCAGAGATGCACGCGCAACATACTGACGAACATTGTCTGGCTGACAATCTTACTCTGTCTTCACAGGTCAGTGTCTCACTGACACATCGTCGTCGAACATCACATTCCAACTGGCCCCACTGGTCTCACGAGTCCCATGGTCCCACTTGCCCCACTGGTCCCACTGCTCTGTCCCCCACTGGTTCCACTGATTTCACTGGGACACACTGATCCCACTAGTCCCATGCTGTCACTGGCCGCGCTTGTCCCACTGCCCACACTGGTCCCTCTAGCCCCATCAGTTCCACTGATCCCACTGGGACACTGACAAAGGAAGTCCCAGTGCCACTCATAGCACGACAATACCCCACAGAGTACTACAGCCAGTGCAAACCCACTGAGATTGCGGACGTCAGTGTCCCGTCAGAGTTCCGTTTGCAATATAATTGAAGTTTGAAGTTTGAACACACAAATTACCAGAGTGAGAGGTAGAAAGCTATGGTTGCAGGGGTCCCCTGCATAGGCTTAGGAGTAGTGGTAGGTAGGTAGTGAAAGGTGAAGTTGAGAGAAGAATATAGCTTGTTTGCTTAGGCAGGCAATTTTTGCATTCTCTCGCTTGCAATATACCTGAAGTTTGAAGTTGAAATATGGATGCTTCTGCAAAACGAGAGTGCAAAAATTGTCAGAGTCACACAGCACATGGTAATTTGCAAACCCCCCCCCCCCTCTGCCTTACATGCATCCCTTGTCTGGAGTGACTGTATCGATACAGAAGCTTTTTGCGGTGTTTCTACAGTACCATATGGCAAATGAACGCAGCTGAAAAAAGAATTACTTCACCTCAGTAGAGAACGGATGAGCAGACTAGCGAACACACACACACACACACACAC